GGGGGGGAAAAATCCAACTCTGCTGAGCCCAAACCTTTCCCCCCGCTGCGAGCACCGTGGCGTTAAAACACACACACCAGCCGGAACGGAGAGACTCCCCCCACCAGAAAGGGGGCTTGAGCGAGGTTTGAGGTGCAGGGGAAGGGTCTTGTTAAAAAATCTGGGAGACAAAAAAGCTTTTCTGGCCGTTTTTAGCCGCTGCACATCAATGTGTCAGGGGTAGGAGCCGGGAGCCGCGGGCCCAGCACGCGGGATCCAGGCTGGAAGCGCATCCCATCCATCCAGTGTTTGTTACTGGCTTCCCAACACACGGGACACTCACTGGTTGAAAAGATTGGGGGGGGGGAATCTCTTTCACAAGGATGAATCTAGACGTTGTGCTAAAGGATGTGCTCAGGTACAGGCAGAGCTCCCAGTTCTCCTCAGTTCTCCTCCCAGTGTGACCTCCCAGGCCACTGGTCCAGCCTGCGAGCCTGGATCCCTGTCCCAGTTTCAGCCATTTTCCGGCTCCATCTCCACAGATCATCAGCCCAAGGGCGAGAAGAAGGAACGATTCCAAGAGAGGGGGGAGAAAAAGCAACAAGCAACCAAACAAAACCTCAACTCCATGTATTTCCAGGTGACAACTAACTGGAAAAGCTAATTCCTCTGCCCGGACGGGAGGGAAAACGAGCCCAAGTCCTGAGCACTTTACCTGGAAACTTTGGAGGAGGGCTCTGCATTAAAAATTGAACCGATCTATTCTCTTCATTCCTCACTTTGGCTTTATTAATTTATGATAGATAAAAGCACGGCCGAGCCTTTCTCATTAACTTTTCAAACGCCACTTAATATCGTTCCATTAAAAGAGGTGACTGAGTAGCCTCTGGATCGACTTGAAAAGCCAGAGGGATAAAAGACGGGAAAGGTACATTAAACAGTTTGCTTAAAACTCCTGGTTCCCCCCCCTCCCCGCCCCCCTCACCCCAGCAATACCGGTTGGTTGGTATTTTGATTATTTTTTTTTCTTTCCAGAAGTATCTTAATATCGGCTGGGGGAGAAAGGCAGGGGGGGGGTGGATCGTTTTTATACCCTCCATCCTCCCAGATCATTTCAGGAGGGTTATTTATTAAGGTATTTCACAGTACACCCAAGACATTTCAATAAAAATTTATTGAAACTTCAGTGACTTTTTTTATTTTAAAGGGGAAAGGAAAAAAAAATCAAGAAAAAAAAAAATACGGGATGGGGGAAAAAAAACCACCAAGAACTTCTCAACATTTATATAACACAAAATATACCTTCATGATTTGTCCTTTATTTTTTTGCCTTTGAAGCAGCTCTGAGCACCTGCCTTTCCAGCCCAGAAAATATGAGCTCACTCCAACAAAGACAACAATCAGCACAGCAGTAAAACTCCATCCTGGGGTTGTTGGGTCGGTTGGGGTTTTGGGGGTGGTTGTTTTTTAAAAAACACCAAGGAAACAGGGAGGGGGGAAATAATACAAAGTCAAGAAAATCCTGAAGTCTTCACCATTTTGGGGTTGTTTCGTTGTGGGGTTTTTTTTCCTCTCAAGCCCGTTGTCGTGTATTTAAGGTACAGAATTGGTGTCGTTGATGTTTTAAACGGAAAACAGAGTTTTGAACAGTGGAGAAATGGAGGATTAAAAGCTACCATGGCACATCGGGTTTGCTTTTTCTCTTTTATTTATATATATAATTATTTTTTTTGTACAGGTCTTTGATTCATTTCGTTTGTTTCTGCTTTGCCTTTTGCATTCGGCTCCTGGACAAAAAAAAAGGAGGCGGGTTTATCCGGGGTGATTTAAGAAATGAACCCTCAGAAATCGGGGGGGGATTTCTCCTCTGGGTCGTTGTTTCAAGGGCTTAGGAACTTGAAATGAAAACGACTAAAATCAAAAACAGAAGGAAAACAACAACAACAACACGAAGGAAAAAAAGAAGACGACAGATGAAGTCGTATTTACAGAGATATGTACAATGTCAATAAATTAAAGTTTAATTTCGAGTATTCATATTCCACGTATTTACAAGAGTTATCAAATAATTACATAAATACTTTGTGTTTTAATAATAGTGTCCGCTCTTCTCAGCACGTTTAACCCTTGTTATTGCATATACAATGAAAGAGGGAAAGCTGTGATAAACCTACAGTCGAGCTACACAGGGGTTTAGATAAAATAAAATCGCTTTTTTTTTGCCTTTTTTTTTTCTTTCCGACTACATTTCTTATCGACGTCGCTACGGGGAGGATGTTGAAGGGAGAGGGGGTCTTATTTTTTGTTTTTCATGATCGCTGTTCATCATTCTGGGGTTGTTTTGTTGGGGTTTTTTTTGTCCCTGGGATAAGAAAGGAGCGTTCAAAAGAAACGACAAAACCCCACCGAAATGCCAAACAAAGCACATCCCCCCAACAACAACAAATCATTTTAAAAAGCAGACTACTATGGAACATGCACCAAAAAAACAAAAACAAAACAAAACCCAAAAACAAAAAGCCACCGAGGGGCTCTGAGACATCACAAGGACATTTTAAACGCACAGCTTCCCTTAGCACTGGCTGAGGGGGTTGGCACCAACAACCCACCCAGGAAACAACTGTTTGAAGAACCGACCTGGGAGTTACTTACACACTTTTCTTTCTGGAAGGGGAAAAAAACACCCACCAAAAAAAAAAAATAATAATAAAATCACTTATTTCACTGAATTTTTAACTCATACGTTTGTTTGATTTTTT